AAAAAGAACATTAGCACAAACCTAGCCTGTATGTATTTTTTTGTATGTCATCGAGAGTATTTAAATGATTTTCAGGAAAAAAATGTGCGATTAAAATGCGATTAATCGCGAGTTAACTTAGGCATTGATGCGATTAATCGCGATTAAAAATTTTTTATCGATTGACAGCACTAATATATATATTAATAAACTAACAGAATACTAAGCTAATAAATCTCTAACTGGAAATCAATTGAAGGATCTCAATGTTGATGATGTCAGTTTTTCTAGGTGATGTCACAATAGTTTTGGGCCAATATGAATACTGATTCAAAATGCAAATGCAGTACAATAGTTAAACATTAGGGGAGCCCTACACAGATGGTTTTACACAAAAATGGTCGACACATTTAGACAGCGCTATAAGCCATTGAGGTACACAGTAAAGTCAATTTCAGTGAAATGCCAGCCGAATGGCAGCCCTCTTCCCTCCAACTCCCAGCAAAATACCCTTTAACTTCCAGCCACTGGAGTGAGCAAGCGGGCAATTTGCGACATAAAGGAATCAAATTAAAACCAAAAATGTTACCAATCCACCATACAAATAAATGATCAACAAGCTCACAGCACACGCCCGGTTTATAAGAGCAATATCTCCTATAAAACAATAAAAATGTCCATCAAAAACTGAACACGACAACATGAATTTTGAGAGATCACACTAAGCTAAACGTAAACAAATAAAATAATGACACAGCAACTAATTACCTGGATACACATTGGATTTATAGTCATGGAAATATTTATGGTCATAAAATTCTCCATTAGTCAGGAACTCCTAATAATTACTGGATTAAGACATCTAATCCCTTAATAGTTGTTAGATTATGTAATGTTTTTAGAGGACTGAAGTTTTATGATTGAACCCAAGTGGCTCAATAAATATCAGCTGAAGAAATTGAATAAAACGTCAAAGTCTTTGAAGCATTTAGCAAGGATTTACTATTCACTGAACTATTTTACAAGTTTAAACTACTATTTTTTGCAAAGTATAAGAAAGATCGTTTCAACAGTCTGAGCATTATCTTAGTTTTAATAGGGAATTACTGCTGAAAACAACATCCTTGTTATTTGAGTGCATGAAGTCGTAAAACAGGATTAAAAATCCACAAGATAAGAATGAACAGGAAAATATTACTCACTTTCCAGAAATTCCTGTTGGCAGCGACTTGATCAGCCATTCAAGATCTCGTATCTTGAATGCAAATAATACAAGGTGCGTAGTGTTATCTAACGTTGAGCCACTCTCTGGATACATGACTCGATGTGTTGTTCTTGCCCCGACATCTTGTTCGTAGCCTTTAACTCGACCATAGTTTATTCTAAACAGGACAAACAGGACTGTGTAAAAGCTCAAACTCAAAACTCTTCCTGATATTTTGAATTCAAATCGCTTCCTGGATGGAAAGCAAAACCTCTTCAAACTTGGAAACAAAATCCGGTGGATTGTTTTTAATTTTCTTTTTTTTTTTATGACTATGACCTGGATGACTGAGAATCTTCACCAGAAAACTGGACAAAACTTTACACTATTGGTGCGTGTGTTCAGCTAAAGTGTAAAGAAGAAGTTACCTTTTATTTCATACCTTATAATGACATCCTGGAAATCTATCAGAGGTCCATAATGTGATCCTTTCAGATTTATAGAATTTCCCACAACAGCACAAGTTCTGCAACCCTCAGTTTGGGGTTTTTCAAACACAGGAGTTGGTGGGATTATCTTAAACAGTGTTTTAATTGTTGCTTTGAAATAGCTGAAGTTATGACTGTTGCTCTGTAAGTGCTGCCAAAAAAAAAAGAAATACAAGCTGTTAGACCAGTTTTATCTCTTTATGAAAGTCAGCACAAATTGTGTGGTGTTTTTATATAATCAACATATTTCTTACCGACCACCATTTGAATTCCTCCTCAGACAGGTCAACATTTGCTGACAGAAATGGTTCAATAGAACGGTTCAGATATCGATTCAGAAACTCATCCTCTTTGGAAAAACATTTCACACACTGACATGTGTTTTGCAAATTATTTTGAATCCACTCAGTCAATTCAGAAGATTTAAGCAGAGCCAGAAATATTCCAGCAGTTGTCACAGCCAGCAGGAAAATACACATTTTGAGCCGGAGCAAAACCCTGTGTCAGTATTACATGAGGTGAGGAATACAAAAAAAATGTTTGATATGAATTCAAAAAAGTTATTTTAATACACATTTTGTACCTTCATCAAACAAGCTTTTAATTTATGAAAAACAGGACTACATAATGTATATATTAAGCGCCTCTTTAAAAAAAACAATATTTTATAAAATAAAAATAAAATCCCTTTACAGTTAGAATACATTGATTCAGTTTGGCTTACCTCAGATGAGAGTCAATCCCTTTTAGATACATTTCTATTTAGGAAAGCTTGGAAAATAATGAAAACTATCAGACAAACTGTTGGACTTTGGAGTAGAAACGGAACAATTCAAGCACTGACGGTTCTGACAGTAGGCTTGCTATCATTTCAAAGGAAGGGGTGTGGCTTATTTAGGGAAGTCCTTTTGAAAAGGTTTTATGTAATATATAAAGCATTTTTAATATTCAAATGAATAATGGAAAAAATCTTGAAACAGAATACATATTGAACCACATTGTAGTGCTAAATAAATATAAATAAACATATATTTTGCTTTAATCTAAGAATTAAGATATAAAGTCTGTAAAAGGTTAATTATAAAGATAATTATGGTGAAGATTGAAAGTACTCATCTCCTTGATAGATTATTATAAAAAAGGGGGGAAAATTCAGTTTTTTTTTTAATATAGAGGTATCTTTCATATATATGTGTGTGTGTGTGTGTGTGTGTGTGTGTGTGTAATACCTGTCTAGCCATCAGAGTGAGGACCATTTTTCGAATTTCACCATCAAATTGAGGACCAGTTGTTGCAAAGTGAGGACATTTGGCGGTGCTCACTTGCTATCTTGTTAATAGTTAGGATTAGGGTTAGTTTTAGGGTTAGGGCATAGAAAGGATTGAAAATGACTGAAAATCAATGGGAGTCAACATATAGTCCTCACTACGTGTGTGTGTGTGTGTGTGTGTGTGCTGTAGGTTAACTTCTTCACTTATTTGTATTTTTAGCTAGTTGAAGTAATTAAATTTAATTTAATAAGAAAAAAACTGTAATAAGTGTATATTTATATATATATATATATATATTATTTGCTTTAAACATAGACTCTTCTAAATTGTAATATTATAATTTCCTAGCCAGTAAGTATCATGTTACTTTAATTTGCATTGATACAGCAGATTAGTTATACATATCAGTTGTAACATTGCCTTTAATGTTCTGTACCAAGTCTAGAATGATGTAATAGGGTCATCTAGGAAACGTTTGCTAACCTTCAACCTTTCTATTTGGTCCAGGGTATTACTGACTTACACTTACCTTGGCCACTTCCATAAAAGGCACTCTGGCTGCATTCTGAACAAACTTTTTCCAGTCTATCCATCTCTTTCTCCTTTTTAGGGGGAACCATTGCTAAATCGTCCCACTCGTGTTTTTGTCCTTCTTTTCAAATTGCCAGTGCTGTTTACATCTCCACCCTCTTGCCCTAAGCTGCTCCACCCATGAAGCAAGGCTGCTTTTTATGGGATAGAAAAAAAAAGAAAAAAAAAAGAAAAAAAAAAAAAAACTGCAAACACCGGTCGGTTTAGCCTGGCCATTTGAGGATCCTCCAGAACCTCCCTATGACCACCCAGCCCCTTCACAGATCACTTTTCTAAGATGTGTAATTACCACTTACAGCACAAACACAGTTTATTTGAATACACATTTGCCATACATAAAACTTTATGCGTAAATTACAGGGACAATAAAGGGTGGGGCTTATGGGTGGTTCAAGGTAAGGATATATGAATGTACTACTGTATATGGTTCAATGACCTCAAATGGGTTTGAAGAGGAAAATAGTTTCTTTTAATTACCTTGGCAATGAAAACAAAGAGCAAAAGCCAACTTTTACGGTCTGATTCAAGGAGTGGAGAAATGTTTAGTCAAGTAATGTCTCTACTAATTAATTCAGCATCAAGATAGTAGAGAAGGAATTCTCAACACTACGGTTTGTATAAGTTGAACCACATTTAGTTATTTAAGATTATTAAAAAAATGTATGTGAAAGACTAATAACTAAAAATATATTTGTCTTGACTTGATTAGTCTAGATTTCTTTTAAATCACTTGTGATATTGACAAATATAGTCTATAAAAATTATAGCAAATCTATGAATACTATTAAGAACACGGATTGTATTTATAAATAATTTTTATAAGTTTTTAAATAAGTTTTTAACTCAGCAGAAATTGCAACAACAAACAAAGAAATACATTTTTCTGTATTTAAAAAAATATTTTCTGTTGCTGCATCCTTTCATTTTTATTTATTTTTTTTGCATCACACATTCGACAATAACTGTTCGAGTTTATGTACTTCCTGAGGTGGACCAAGGGGACAATATTCAAGGACAAAGTGTCTTTATCAGTCACACTAATGGCAGATTTCCCTTGGACCTGATGTACCAGTCGCCATGAATAAAGTAAAAAAAACAAATATTTACTACTGAAATTAAAACAATAAAAGTACCAAAAAAAAAGGCAGGGTTTCACAAAGCGGGAGGATTGCGAGACTCATGCAGGGGGTCATGAGATGGTTTTGAGAATTATCACGTGAACCATCAGGTATATATGGAAGTTAAAACGCATCATGAAATATAGGATAACATGAAATAAGCAGGTGTGGCATTAATTTATTATTCTCATGCAGATAAATTTGAAAATGCACAAATCTGTAATTAAATGTTACAAAAATATATTTATTTTAAAATAAGTCTGACAACTTCACTATGTATTTCTAAATCAATATACAGTAAAAAACAAAAATCAACATGTAACAACTGTGTTCAGCTGTTATTTTCGTAGGCTGAAACATTTGGTGACCTCTGTAAAAAGGGTTACTCCATTCAACACTACTATTAAAAAAATATATATCATATGGAACATTGAAATTCAACATGCAAGAATAAAATAATATCGCCCCTCCGTTCCTACAGAACATATGTTTGATTTTTCCTTGTTAGTCTTTGAACCCTGAACAATGCACTCATTAATAATTAGTGGCGATACTGCCATGATTGTTCTAATTGCGTAGCTTTAAGAACATATGTAGATCATGAAACAAAAGGATCTGAAATGGGTTTTATTTTTTCCATTTTTATGGTTCCAAATGGGATAATGAGATAAATATACCAGAATTTGCTTTAATTATAAAAACTTTGCCTTTAAAAGAGCTAAATGTAGATATGTTATGCACAGTCTTTAACTTCCCCTGTTAGTCAAATTACAAGAAATGTTGATGTAGATGGAATATATATGAAATAAAAAATTCAGATTCAGTTTTGTTTATTTATTTTTTTTTTTTATGCACATAAAAATCTAAAACTGTAGGGAGTGCATTCTGGCACCTTTCTACTGTCTCCTAATTTCATCTTATCAAAAGACTTTTTGTGTATTTTAATCTAAATATAATTCCAACTGCTCTGTTATGGCCACAGCAGTTTGTTAGAAAATATAGTTAACACACAGCATTGTGAAAACCAGGAAAACAGGAGGCAGGGCAGGGAGAAAATAAAAAAAAATATTTATAATTCATCCGAACTTTAGACACCTTTCTCTGAGTAATATTCAATCAGTCGTTTTATTGCCAAGACACTGGACACATGAGAAATAAGATTTCGTGTTTTTTGGGTTCAGCTTTTTTCTTTTTCGATGTTAAAAACTAATGTTAATGTATGATCTGGAACTGTTCAGTAACCCAACTGATAAAAGACTGGCATCTAGTGGTCACTGTGTGATTCTAACTGGAAAACATTGGAAAAGACTGTTTTCCTCATTTTTGTAATGAGGTCAGTTGAAGATTTCATGAGTCCTATATCAGAATAAGTCAGCAGCTCATAAGATGTCAACTCACTCAGTGTATTTTTATTTATATAGTTCTTCATAGATTAAAAAAAACCCAAAAACTTTGGTTTATTAAAACTGACAATCAGGTAGGGCTCAGCAAAGTTATTTATTCTGTAACAACCAGTAAAGCACATTATGGTATTCTCGTCAACATTAAAGTAAAACTAAAGATAGATCGCTTTTCCTTTAAAACTACTAATGATGGTTGTGTGAAACGTGAGCAACAATTCAATTCAGTTTATTTCTATAGAACCAATTCACAACACATGTCATCTCAAGGCACTTTACAGTTCACCAGATCATACAGTCAAATTGATTCAAAGTTTTCTTTCTAAGGAAAACCAGTTGATTGCATGGAGTCATTGACTCAAAGGCAATCCCTCACACTAAGCATGCTTGTAGCGACAGTAGGGAGGAAAAACTCCCTTTTAACAGGAAGGAACCTCTAGCAGAACCAGGCTCAGTGTGAGCGGCCATCTGCCGAGGCCGACTGGGGTTCAAGGAGACAGAAGCAGAGATACAGCTGACGTTCAGAATGAATTTGAAGGATTGGCAATTTGTTTTGATTTATTTTTTGTTTTTGCGGCACTAGTGGCTTGTTTTTTCGACAATAGGCTGACAGTAATGGGGGTATGAGAGAGGGGGAGAGGCAAACCCGGGTCGGCCACGTCGAGGACTAAGGTCTCCATAAAATGGGTCATACGCATTAACTACTGCGCCACCAGCACGCCACAAGGATTGGAATTTGTGGTTAGTGAAGATAAATCGATAGTGTTACCATTGTTTTCAAATTTTTATACAGAACGAAAACAGTGCAGAGTACTTAATAATTCAGAACAAGGACAAATGGGGGTACTGGCCTGAAGGATCTACAAATATATATATATATATATATATATATATATCAAGATGCTACACAGATTGTTTTGTACAGTCTTCCGTTATTATGTCGGTTTTAGCCATAGTTTTCTACCAAATCTGTTTGGTGTCGGACTGAAAAAGTAAGTTGCTCCAGTACATGCATCTGATTTACAATGTTAAGAAAAGTGTCTTCCGTCAGGACATTATGTTGTCACGTTTGCTCCATGGCCTTTTGGTTTTGCGACAAAAAATTACCCAAAGAGTTACATATCAGTTTTCCTCAATTAGGCATAACTCTGAGGTAAAGACACATGAATGGTTTACTGACACTGAAACACAGGACCTTTAAAAATATTTTTATACTGGGGTATAATTTCCTTATGAGTCCCTTATTATTTTTGCTGAGTTGTATGAAACCATAAATATGTGAATAATTCCCGAGGGTTCTGCTATATTAATCTTTCAACTTCTTCCAGAAATAATAATGAAATTGTAAATACAGGTAAAAATCGTGTTGACCTTAAACCTTTTATTCGGGTCGCTCAATCTACTGTTTAGCCTTTGTAAGCTGTTTTGCAGATGGCAGAATGCTATTATC